TATCCATTAAAATTTAATTTTATATAATTTAATTATATCATAATTTATAATATTTTAATAATGAAAACAAATATAAAAAACCTAAATTATTAAAAAATAATAAATATTATATATTTTAATAATTATATATCTTATAATATTTTTTAAAATTTAATGAATAATTAATAAAATTTATCATATTTCATTTAGAATACTTTAAAAAAATAAATAATTAAATATCAAAATAACTTTCGGCTACAGCTACAGTATAACACAATCTAATACAATCACATCCACAACCATAATCACAGTACTTTACAGCAATCCCAAATGCAACCCTTGTCATTACCGTAGCTATTATTGTTGTTGCTGCTGCTCCTGCTACTTGTGCGATTTTATTAGATTTTATGAAGTACTACTCATGGAATAAAGTTGCCTAGCTCTGTGTCATGCTTAAAAATTGAAACCCCAATCCGTTGATGACACAATAAGGGTTAATATTCCATCATCAAATCATGTGACATCTTCCAAAATCATGAAGGAAATCATGTAAAATTCCCTATGTTACGATTTAAAATTAATGTTGTGATGTGCATCCTCTAGGACTATTGAAGACATTGGAGGGGTTTAACATAAGAGAGATGCGTGAAATTTTAAAAGGTTAGAAGTAACTTAAAAGAAAATGAATCAGCTAACAACTTAAATAATTTAATGATAATATCTTTCTACTAAAAATAAAATATTCTGAATTTGAATTATATAACATGCGAGTAAAATAAGTTAAGAGATAGAAAAGAGTTGCTTCTTATTGTGCAACCCTAAATCCAAAAAGAGAGAGAGAGAAAGTGGACCATATTAACTATAAATACTTTGACTGAGATGTACTAATCCAAACAACCATCTGCACCAAATCTCAGAAAGATGTTCTCTCTTTGTTAAATAATAAAGGATCAATGGTTCTATCATCAGCCTAAGAGAAAGAAGTTTTGCTTAAAGACAGTTATAAATTCGCATAATTTAAGAAAATCTCGCTTAAGAGATTGTAACTTTCTTAAAGATAGGGTGACTTGACAGCAGCTCCTTTAAATAAAGCAGAATAGCCCGTCGTCAAGCTGCGTGGCCCTGAACATGTACATGGCTCAATCCTGATTCACAAAAGCAAGAGCATTTGAATGTAGACTGATAGTCAAAAGTTAGTAAGCATCTAAAAGATGAAAGTTGCTTTATACCATGATCTGTTGCATCAGTGCTAGCCTCGGCAATTTATATTGTGGATAAGTTCTGATTCCTGACGAAGGAAATTAATATAAATACAAGAAAAAAAAGAAAGGTAAAATAAATTTTTTTTGAGATTCTAGGATGCTATAAGGCTAATTAATAACATACATTCAGTATGAAAAAGTAGGTCATGTTTGGTACATTGATCTTATTATTGGTGCATGATCCTAGAATTTGGCATTCTATACTTTCCTTTATATGCATACGAAGAGATAATTAACACTGGCCATCAAAATAGACACTGAAAGAGCGAGCATTCAACCAATGCCATTGATCAATGTTGCTTGCAATCCTCATAATCTAACACAAGTGATAATTCGAAACTGTCCCTAACAGGCAAATCTTTCAGCGAGCCATTGTCGTCCCCATTGTTAGTAGTAGCTTCCAAGATCCTCCTCCTGTTGCTCAAATACCATTCAAGTTCACCATCAGTAGGCAACTCAAACCGACAAACTGGGCATGTAGTTCTCATCTTCAGCCATGGCACAATGCATTCCCCATGATAATAGTGCCAGCAGGGCAGCATCTTCACCTTCTCTCCCTCTGCAATCTCCTCACTGCAAACAGCACAAACCGCTTCAGTCCCACCTCTCATTTCAACCTCTGGAAGCCCTTCCACCACAAATTTCGCAGCTGGAAGAATTCTCCGCGGTGGAATCTCAATATCAAAATAATCTTCATCACTTTGCCATTCCCACTCAAGTGTTTCGGAAGTGTTGGGAGGGGAAAGTTCGAAAGAGAATAAAGTATTATTGTTCGAGGGCGCCTGTTGCCATGCAGACATCGTATCTGCATTGTTTGGTAGTTCTTCCGACCTCCGGAACGTGATTTCCCATTGCATAACATCATCTTCCCTATCAATTAAAATATTGTTCCAGGGTGTCTGTTGCCATGCAGACATTGTACCTGCATTGTTTGGTAGTTCTTCTGACTGCAAGTTGATTTCCCGTGGCATACCATCTTCATCTTCACCATTAACTAAAATATTGTTCGAGGGTCTCTGTTGCCATGCAGGCGTTGTTTCTGCTGCATTGTCTAGCAGTTCTTCAGACTGCAAGTTGATTTCCCACCATGGCATACCATCTTCACCTTCGCCACTAACTAAAATACTGTTCCAGGGTGTCAGTTGCCATGCAGACGTTGTATCTGCATTGCTTAGTAGTTCTTCCGACTGCAAGTTGATTTCCCATAGCATATCTTCATCTTCATCTTCATCTTCGTCATTATTATGTACCAAATTAGTATCAATAAAATCTGAACCCAACGCAGGATCTTCCGAGTCTGACTCAAATTTGCTGTCCGAATGGTTTCCTCCACTGTTGTTATTGAACGGGTCCATGTCGAGAAACTCCAAATCCGATGTCTGATTATCGGAAAAGGTTTGGAAGAGAGATTATTCGTTCTGGTGGCGATGCAGGTTTAAATACACTTCGTGTGGGTAGGTTTTCCAACTTCTAAGTGAACATGGACTCTGATGTATGTGCCCAATGATGCGGTCTTTCCAATTACTTTAAATGACTATTTTTTTCTTTAAAACCTTCCCCTTTCTCAAGTCCATTCTACAATTCGAAGTCAAATTTAAAAAGAAAGAAAACATCAAAGAACTCAATTTCAACATAAATCATTTAGACATTACTATTACCATTTCAACAAAACTAACAAAATGTAGGGTGGACTACAAAACAGTTTTTTCTATTAATAGTTAAGGTACAGTTTGCGCATGGTGAACTGCACTTCACTTTTCTGCAAAACTAAACAAGGGCATAATAATGCGGCGGCTAAGTGGACAGAGAATAGAATAACAAAAATTCTGCTCGAGATCTAGCGATGGTTGGTTGTTATTTGCAGGAGTCTCACAGGGGTACCTATCAGTCAGGGTCTTCATGATGATACAAATGAATGTGATTTGGCCTTTCGCAACTGACATCATTCATTGACAAAAATCTCTATATATCATTCTGCAAAAAGTAGAAGCAATGGAGAAGTTAAAAATGAAAACTGCAGCTACAAAATTTGCATATCCAGATATCAATTAAAGTGGAATTCACCTTGGTGATTTCAAACACATTTGCTATAGAAAGGGGAGTCCATTAAAAGCTCATCAAGATCAATGACAGCCAGGCAGGAAGGAGGAAGAGATGTTTCTTCTTTCAAATGGGCAGTTGCTTTGATAGAAAAAGTATGCCGTGAATGAAATCATCAAGACAACCAATGCCATGAAAATATGCTTAGAGTTGAGCAATCTTGCATCCATTCTTCTTACAGTCTCAAACTCAGATGCGTTATCTGCTGGATTCATTTCAGTCTCACCAACATATGCAGTTGTCTGTGTCTTCACCTGGAAAAAAATAAAATAACATAAAAGAAAATGAGAAATAGGATAGTCTAAGTGTCTCAAACACAGCACAGAATTGAGGTTCTAAGACAAGAAGGGAGCCATTACTATTAAATGGTGATTCAAATCAACAAAATGGTAACTATAAAGAGAGCAAGGGGAACAACCAATGGCACAATTAGCAGGGCATTGAAAACAATTGTACCTAATGGGGAAGGCAATAAAACAGAGGAAAATATTTACTTTCAATACCTGATGCGAAAATAATTTAGCAAACAAGTACCTCAGAGCCAGCAGTTACTTCGTTACTTCCTCTTGCAGGAGCAGCAACTAGATCTTGTTTTGAAAATAAAAATTCTTTGCAATTTACTGTGTTTTCATGGCTCAAAACAGCAGAAGCATTCTCATCCATTTTCTTCAACTTCACAATCAATATTTTATTCTCCACAGCTAGCACAGATATCTGGCCAAAAATTCAAAACATCATCCATTAGGAGCACGCAATTTCATCTCCAGCTGATGTGTTTATATCTTTGATGGGTACAACCAACTATTGAAATACAAAAATAAAAATCTAAAACTACCATAATAAATATAGGAAGAAAGACACTGGTCAGAGAGTAATTTGTCCTATCAATTATCAATCAATGATAGGACAGCACAATCTGATATTGTCAAGCCTCAAGGTTTGATGAAGGTGAGAGAACTTCACAAGTCAAAATTTTCATTGAGACTTTGAATACTAGGATTTAGATCAAGTAAGATTGCTGCGCAAAACTTTAGACAGATTATACGTCATTTTTGATATTGGAGGTGGGGGAATTGCGCCTATCTCTTCTGGATGAGGGAACACAAATCCTTGCCAATTAAGCTACAAGCTCAGTTGTGATTACAGATCTTTTTAAATCTTTACATAAAATATGTTATCATCCATCAAGACTTTTAACCAGTGTTCTTACCCACATACAGGAAGTCAGAGAAGGAAACCCAAACACTATGTTAGATTTTAAAGCTGACTTAAATAGGTGGCAGGTGCCACAGGTTTATACCTGCCGGTGAAGGCGCTCTCTTTCTACTGCCAGTTGCGAAAGCAGATTTCTGATTATTTTGGCATGAATATTAATATCTTTTGCAGTTGCCATTTTCATTTCCTCAGCTTGATTCAAAGATGCCTCCAAACACTCTAGTCTACCCCTCAAAAAGCTTAATTCTTCACTTAGCTCTGCATTAGATTCAGATAATACAGTGCACTTCCCTTCTGCATTTTCAGCTCGACTTTCAGCTTTTGAAACTTTCAACTTAAGATCCTCTATTAAATCTTCCATATCTTTAATGGTCAAATACAGCATACTTTGTTTCTCCTGACTTGCTTCAATAGAAGCTATTGCATGATGTAACTGAATATCAGATTCCTTTAACTGCTTCTCCAGAGCCTCCAGCTTTTCTGGGGTAATACCACTCTTTTTAAGAAGACCCAACTCTTCATTAAGTTCAATATTAGTCTCATTTAACAATTTACACTTGACTTCCGCACTCTCTGCTCTGTTTTCAGCTTTAGACAATTTTTCCTTCAAATCCTCCACAACATTCTCCAGTTCATTGCTTTCAGTATAAAGGACATTATGCTGCTCTTGACTTTCATCACTTTGGACTTGTTCATTCAGCAACTTAGACTCAGATTCTTTCAGTTGATTCTCCAGTGAACTTAAAATCTCTCCCAAAGTGAAGACCTCAAAGTCGGCAAGAAATAACTTATCTTCAGCTTCTGTCAAACTTGTTTTTAAGCTGTCATTCTGAGCCTTAAGGGAATCATTGATTCTTGCATTGCTGCTTTCAAGCTTCTGCAGTGCACTTTCTTTGGCTTCCAAGTTTTCTATGGAACCACTGAGCTTTGATCTTAGCTCTGTTTCTCGTTGGGTTGAATTATTCAGATAGAATTGGAGCATTTGTTGTCGATTCAACAGATCCTTTGAAATGCCTGTCAACACCTCTGCAGCATTCTCTGCCTCAAAGTGCCTTTGATAAAAATCTGTCACTTCTTCTACCATGCAGAAAAGTTCTTGTTCTGATGAGATCAGTCTTAATTTCAACTCCTCCTCCATTTGCCTTGATTCTGTTAACTTTTTTTCTAGATCCATTTCTCTGGCCAAAGATTTCTCTAGCATCCTCAAATTTTGCCGCTGCTCTTCAGCAGTTTGCATTCTTATCTTTGCACTAACATCTTCTGCTAAATCCAAGCCTTGGTCACCAATCCCTGAACACAAGAATGGATTAGAAACTGAATAAGAAACTATAAAACAAGAGGTATTTTCATTTTTATTTGCATCCTTTCAAATAGAAAAAAGTATCATAAAACATTATTCACATTTTTTTGGCAGACAGCTTTAGCACAAAACATCACAATATAGCCAGTCAAATTGGCAAATATAGGTTAACACATAAATCATGCTCACTTTTTCCTTCTTTGGCCCATTCCTGGCATCCTAATGATTCAGAAATTAAAGAGAAACTAATTGCCATAGTAGACAAAGGCATTTCTGTTGCCTTTCTAAAACTAGTCCACATCAGTTTCTTGACAAAAGATGTTTAAATAACAAACACATCTAACTTATTCTATACACTTTTTAAACAACCCATCATCTTTCAATCATATCAATGCCCAACATGTCAACTGCAAAGAATGAAAGATAGTGAACTTAGTAGAAATACAACTTACAATTCTTGTTTCCATCAAGACATGACAAAGCCCTCTGAAACTTAGCACACTGCACCTTAATTTCTGAGACTTGATCCTGTGATTTTTTCAATGATTCTTCAGATTCATGTAACTTTCTCTCCACTTCCAAAGAAGTTTTTCCTAAGTGTCTAAATGAAGATATCATCTCATGAGCATTGATCATATCTGTTTGAAGATTACAAATGATCTTATCCAGTTCTTTCACCTCTGAATCTAAAATTCCAGTTAACAGATCAAACTCCAGAGCCTTCTCAGCAGAATCAATCAGCACAGAATTATTTTCTGAAGTAAAGGATTCAAAGTCACCTTCCCTGGTTGCCACATGCATTGTAAGTATACTTAAGTTAACCAACTTCTGTGAAGAACATGCTAAATCTGATTCCACTCTTGTTAGAAGCTTGCCAACCCTACCTAGTCCTTCAGTCACCTCTCCACAAGATGATATTCCATCAGAAATGTCAATTTTAATGAACCCTGGTTCTGGGGCAACGCTGTTGAAATCATCAACAGGTGCACTTCTTTCAAGCATGATCTGATTATCCATTTCAATGGTCTAATGGTTGTCTTGATCTCAAAACCTAGAAATTAGCTAACAACATCGAAAGAATAGTCAGTAAAAGTCATGAATGAATATTATGAGATAATTTAACTATAGTCAAACGACATCACTATCTCTCCACACTAGTTCATGAAAATTATGCAATACAAGTTTGCTAATACATCAACATGGACTCATTCTACACAGCAACGATAAATCTTCTTCTCATTCTGAGTAAGTAGGGAGAAAAAAGAAAAAAGAAGAAGCAGGGAGGGAGGGAGAAAGGAAGGAATGTCTTTGATAACCACACTGACATTCATATGTAAAGATGTGAAATCAAGAGCTCAGATTTAAAGCCAAAACATTCTCCTTGATCATAAGAACATAATTAAACCCTTCTAAGAGAACCATACAACCTCAACAGGAGAAAACAGGGGCGCAGATTCAGTCAAATTTTTTACTTTTGCTTACGAAGTGACAATCTCATGACATCTCAACTATACAACTCTATCTGAACACAACTCGGCATCAAAGTATATGGCAGCACTGACATACAAGAATAACGTGTGATCCTCCCAAAAGCATCTAAATTGTAAATAATTGTAATTACAAATTCAACATTTTGACATTAAAAGGCAGTGTTAAATGTGAAAAATAAACCTATTTTCTCCTTCACTACCCAATAAACAATGAATTAACAACTAATTTACCATAATAAAGCAATAAATTTCTAGAACCCATCAAGATACCCCCATTAACCGTCCAGAAAACGCCAGAAAGAAAAAAAAAATCAAGAAACCCAAATACCCATCTCCCATACTCAGGAAGATGAAAAAGTTCTTACCTTTAAAGAAAGTTGCGTTGGATGGACAGGGTTATTGGGGTGAGAAGCAGGGAAAATCAAGAATTCTGCAAATCTCCGTTCTGGCCACGGGATTAAAGAGTAAAGTGCAAAGACTACAGTGCGTAAATGATGCGAATTGCTTCAGTCTAGGGCGGTGATATAAGAATAAAATTTTTATATTATTATTTAATTTAATTTTTATATATTATTAAATATATATTCAATATTTTAAATATTAATTAAATAAAAAATTATTATTTAAATAATACATAAAAATATATTAAAATAATAAAATAATTATTCTTAAATCATTTTTTTAGGACCAAATGCTTTTCCACCTGTTAACTTGGAGGCTTTAAGCCTGGCTTTGGAATTACACAGGCTTTAAACCTGTGTAATTGCATTCTGTTTGGCCACTCGAAAATGGTATTTAGGTTGTACTTAAATGCCATTTTTAGTAATTGAATTTTTAATTTGAAATATTTTTAGCCCGTAAATTTTTTTATATTTTTTATCTTTAAACTATAAAAAATATAAATTTTTTATTTCTTCAATTAATCAGTATGTAATTCTATTCTCCACATTTTTAATCCTTAACTTAACAAATTAAACTGATAAAAAATCTTTTAAAAAAGCACATATTTCTTAAAATTAAAACGGTGCAAAAAATAATAACGCATATTTCTCTTTTATTAGTTATTAGTTCGATTAAGAGTAAGCTTCCTATCTCTTAATTTAGAACTTTCTTGCCTTTCTTTAAAAAGAAACTAAATTAGTATTTTGATCTTCCTTTTTGTTACTCAGAAACCTTTGGCTTCTCAAGTGTTATGGAACCAGTAGCCCCTACTCCTTAATTCGGTGATTCGTCATGGGGATCAACCTTTTTTTTTTTCTTTCCTTTTTTTTTTTTTTATTTTTTTTTACATAAGAAATGGTTAGAAGTTAGATTAGTATCTGCTCTTAATAAAATTTAAACACTAATTAAGAGTGCAATCCACCGACAAGTTTATTAGACTACAGTGGCCATCAATTACCACAATAGGAGAATGCTTTCTTTCTTTTGTTTAGTTCCGTATTAGTTTTATTTCTTTTTTCTTTCCTTAGGGTCTCTAAGTATAGGTTTATTCTTTCTCCTTTAGATCTAGTAGGCTATTAGAGCCATAGATTGGATTGCAAAGTTTCAAATGGCCATGAGAAGAAAGTTGAATCTCCTGCTGACCTTTGAGCCATGGCATCATAGGAAATTGTGTTAACTTGTTTTAAGAGTATATTAAAAGGTATCTAATGATGGTGGAATGTTCAACTAAATAAATATGTAAATAGTTAGTTCCTTTCAAAAATTTAGTTGTGTTATTTACTCACCATCTTTATTTTTTGTTTTAGTATGTTGAATTTGGTTTACTTTTATTTTATATCGTCATTTATGCTTAATTTATTCTATGTTATTAGCAGTTTTTATCCAAGAGATAAAAAAGTAAAATTATGTAAATCCTATATGACTAAGATGGATAAATAAAATTTTAACCACGTTAACAAAAATGTATGAGTTCGATTTTCCAGGCTCTAAATTTGTATTGCTTGTAACATTTTAGTTGTGATACATTTTTATTGCGATTGTTGAAAAAAATTATCAAATTTTATAAAAATATAATTATTATGAATTAAAATTTTCATATTTGTTCTTAGTAGAACTCAATTAATAAGGAGATTGAGAGTAAGGATTAATAAGTTCTGTTAAAAGAATTATTATGAAATTGTAATAGATTAAAGGGGTTTAGTTGAAAGCAGAACCTTAACTGTTCTTTTAAAATAAAAATTCACAACTAAACTGAAATACATGACCTTTTTAAAAATTGTAAGTTGGAACAACTAAAATAGGATGGAGGGAGTAACAATTTAGAAAGGTTTATATCTGTCGATTGTTTTTGGACAATTTCAAAGAGAGTCATGAATTTTTTTTTTT